TGATTTCCAGTGTGCATTGGTATGAATTTATGTATTGAGATCAATTTTCTGTAAAATTAAGGTAATTCCATCAAATTCATTTGATTTCTGAAACAATCTTTTTTGTTAACTTGAATTATTTTGGAGGCGCATTTATTTAACGCTCATATTATCTCAATATACACGATAACATTTCAAGCGCATATGTTTTGGAACTTCTAAAAAGTCATATATTTTCTTTAAAATTTTCACTAATGTCGCCATGAAACAAAATTGATGGCATGGTGATCTTGACACCAACACTCAAACCTATTTTTACCGCTAAAGATTTCCGTTTGGAAAAAAAGTTTCAGCAGAACAGAACAACAACAAGCTAATTTATGGCGGTTGCTTTGATGCCAATAGAAATTAAATTGGCTTTATAACTGATTTTCACCAAAGCGTAATAAAACTAATTGGATACAATATTACTCTTATAGAGGCTATGAGAACCTTTTGTAGAGTATGAGGCTTCCTGACAAAAGGTTTTAAGACAGCTTTATTGTGATTCTCAAACATGCTTTATAAACCTTATCAAGAGTGGTCCACTAAGCTGTATGACGATCTTATAGCGGTTATCAAAAGGTTGTGCTGGAGCTATTAATTTTATTGGCGGTTTTATGAAATTGATCTCAATAACCACTAATAGAGTGCAATAAAACAAGAAATGCTATTTGGGATGATAGGCTGGGCGCATAATATAGACACTCATTTAAAATGTGTTTCGGTGGGTGCCTGGTATTCAATAGTGAGGCTAAATACCAAATTATGTGTTTCTACTAGTGTGGTCTTTTTATAACAGGTTGATGTGTAATGCTCATTTAATTCTTGTTATGTAGCTAGTTTAGGTACTTGTGGTAAAAAATAGCAACGAACATCAATCCATATACCGCATGTAATTCAAAAGTTGGGACAGTATTAAATCTGTCAAAGTGTAGTTTTGAATACAGAACAGCGTCGGTAATTAAGTTAAAGGTTATCAACAAATAAATTAAAGGTAGATTGACACAATTTCATCCCGCTGTATTTCAAATGAGCAAATACTCAAACCCTTCTTCTGAGGATGTAATCTTTGCTATCAAATACGTTCGAAGCGGATGACGCGATTGTACCTGTCTCATAGCGTTCGTATGGGGAAATGGAAGAGTTGCCAGTCTTCTTGATTTGTTATATTCTAGTAAATTATAGTAAAAAAAAACTAGTAACTGCCTTTGATAAAAAAAACACGTCTACTGAGGATTCATATTTATGAAAAAATCATATATCAATGAAACAGTCATCGGTCGTCATTGAAAAGCAATGCAACTATGTTCTGTCAATCTAAATGACTTTTATTGGTTCTGTTGTCTTGTGAATTTTAGCTAAACGGCCTCTTTTCTGATTTTTATCTCTCAATCTATGAAATATACACGAAAACTATGTTGGAATGAAACTTCTAGAACAATATGAGGAACATTATGCCGTACACTACACATTTTTATATCATACGGGTGGAAAATTCGTAGAACAAATACTTTAAAATTCTTCACATTTTAAGATATCTTCGAGCATGAAACTAAGTGAAAATTCAATAAAATCACTTCGAATAGTCAACCTTTGGCCACAAAGTTGGTAGATAACACATTAAGCTTTGCTATGAAAGTTGTTACAGCAGCTTTCGTTGTTTCAGTCTCGAGATACAAATATTATAAGCCGTAAATTACCTTGAAAACATAAAATTAATTAGAAGCACCTCTAAATCAACACCGATTTTGCTGAAAATTTGCACAAAAGTTCAAATTAACATGACGAACAGTAATCACGGTTGACCCGTTACATTCCGAACATTTCGTTTAAAATGAACAGGTCTAATGTTCATCTTTCACAAGCTGGTCAAGTATTCGAGATTTATTGGTACAGCTTTGGGCATGATTGGGTGGATCTGTAAGTTTGTGTATTTTTATTTTTGGAGTAACCTATTTAAAATGGAATTTCCTAAAGTATACTGAACCAAATTGTTATGTATATCTTCAATCGTTCACTTCAGATACCGGAAAGCTTGCATTAATTACAACGATCTTCAAATACGGTTACAGTAACAGTGTGGAAAATTATAATCCTAGGTATCTCAATCCTGACAAGTTGTATCCAGCTGTCCAATCTCGGAGTTCCAAAAACTTAAAATTGTAATGAATTAAAATCGATTTTTTTTTCTTGTGTAATAATTACTATTCACACACCCCTGGGCTGTAATTAAACGCTAGCTACCAATCGTCTTTACCAGGGAATTAAAAATATCTCAAAATGGCAATATGACAAGCGACTTACGAGCCAAACTATTGCGTTTTGTCAGAAACGGCAAGCAATTAGGACATAATTGCGTTTTTTCATAAAAATCTACCTCTGTAATATCTTGATCAAAACTGTAAAAGGAAACGACACAATTGTTTGTAGGCTACTTCACGGACACACGCAGGAAATCGATACACGTAAGTAAATGGGGATTTTTTTGTTTTGTCATTTCATCGTTCAAATCAAGCCGCGTCCTCAGTTGCGTTGATTTTCCCCTTGAAATGGCAATATATTGTTTTTCTTCTACCGTTCCGATCAAGCTATATTGCAGAGAGAAAGACAGAGATTTTATCGTAGTAGTCATCGCAAGAGTTTTGTCTTTCTTAATGGTTGCTTTCTGTGTTTCGATTCCCTGTTCCTGACACTATATGGTGTAACATTCTTGCCCGCTGCGTGTTGTATGCAAAAGTGAAGAGTGGACTACATTGCTAATGTAGTGGATTTGTCTTTGTGCTAAGTTGACCTTCCGTTGTGTGTTGGTATAGGTATCGAGACAATGTACGAATCTAAATTCGCCCAACAGATAATAAGGCAAACACAACCCGTCACTGAGTGAGCAACTGCTTGCATTTATCATTTGTAAAAGCTGTGACCCTCTAAAAGCGATGATGTGTTGTAGAGGAACAAGTAGGCCTATGGATCCGAAGGTTTTTGGGATCGAGACTGGTTGCAGCGTACCGTTGATTCATGTGCGCGTGTGACAGTTTGTAGTTAGGAGTCTTCTAGGTAAAGGCGTCTGGATTCAAAAATTCATGGGAATCGAAATCGGTGTCACATTTTATATAATTTTGACGCAGTGGACTCAATTTCGTCAAAAGTGGATTTACTCAAATAAGTGAGTTAAATTCTCCGGGCTTTTCCAGGAAATATTTCTCGAATATGAGGAAAATCAATAGAAGTTTCACTCAGTCCAGAATGAGTACAATTTTCAAGGATCATACTCGAGAAGTTTTTGCTGGAAAATCCCGGAAAAATCAACTCATTGCAGCGAGTTCACAAAAAAAAACAATCTCGAACCCGAGACCTTCGGATCCCCCTCCCCCTCCCACACATCAACTGTTGCACTTCACCTCACACACACTTGGTTAGTTGCAAATTTACCCACTGTCACAGAACAGAAGGGGAACTTCGGATCAGAAAGTGGCTCCACTATTCATTGGCGAACATTGCCTGCAGTTAAGATAGGCAACATGTTATCATAGTGTGAGTGCGCATATAAAGCCCGTGTGGAACGCTACCGCAACGCAACGCTTGTTAAGCAGAAAAACGTACCACTTTTTGATTCACCGATTTGTTTGCACTTCCCCTTCTGTTCTGTGCCACAGTCCATGTTGTATTTTCTCGGATGTTTACGATCCATTACGAAAAAAGTCTTTCAAGTAAGCAATACAATCTTCCATTTTTATGTTGGGTGTACAATCAAACATTTGTGACCTTCAAAAAGATACTCCCGCTCCAGGAACAACACATGCTGATACGGCTGCAGGTTGTAACGGTTGTAACGCACCACTTTCATGATTATCCTAATCTCCTTTTTAGCTGTTGGCGATACAATTTGGTTTGATTTGGTTTAACAACTGACATACGCATGATACCGGTAGTTAGATTCTCAGTTCCCGCAGTGTAGTGGTGTATTTCAATGTTTTGGGATAATTAATTCATGTGTTTGCATGCCTAAATTGGAATCCCGGAGCCAAAATTCGATTCACCTCATGCTTTCCACGTGTAGATTTCGAAAACTCGCATTTTATATAGTATTCAGATCGGATTGTGGGACCTGGGAAAAACTTGAGCAAAGTGGCTTCAAATTTCTGCCCCGTTTTACTATTGTCACAGACAGTCCATTTAATGCTTTTCTACAACAGAGATCAAATTTGGAAAATAAACTGCAACAACAAAAAACCCGCCATTTTCCTTATTCCAGCCGCTCTCGCTCGGTTTACTCCGGTCTGACTATCTGGCAAATTTTCTCGAATCGAACGCTATTAAACAGGTGGAAATCAACACTATCGCCTCCAGCTTTGGCGGTATCTCGACTTTTATGACACCGATGCATAGGTATAATTTTCCTTAATATTTTCTATAACTTTTTCTGAATTAGCCTTAAACCAAATAGTTCCTCAGTTAATTTATTTTCGTGGTTGTAGTGAATGGTGTTTTCCTTTATTTCTAACATGATATTGTTTATATATAATAGAAACAGATCACAATCTGATTGGCTAATAGCTGTGGTAATATGGTGGCTAACAGTAGCCGAGTTTAAGTTGTTGTATTGATCGCTATTATATTAACTGAGCACGGCGCACTTGAGAAAGAAAAATTCGCATTTGTCTGCACAAAGCTAACCTTATGAGTCTTCAATTTCATGAACATTTATTCGATTTGGTGTTAGAACTCTATCTCTTCGCTTCTGTTCTATGTTTCTCTACTTTATCAATCAAAGTGAAAAAATACCTTTCACTCTGTTATTTCCTCTTGAGGATATTGATTTTGATTTTCCTCTACAGAAGTATGTAGACTTTTAGTGATTTATCCTTTAATTTTGCATGCTGTTTTCTAAAAAAAGGAGAAGACGAAACCATTGAAATTTAGTAACGATTTATCGCTTTATTTCTTTGATTTAAAATTTGGCATGATACTTCTATCAATAGCTTCATCTTGAAGGAGCTGGGACATGCGGATAAACTGGTCGATGTGAGTACCTTCAAGTAGAGAGAAGTTGTTTCCAATAATCACCATTTGTGACTTTCCACAAAAAGCTCCCGGAAAACCACGCCCTATCGGGTTTGTGCAACGGTATGGTCGAAGCGTGGAAGATCCAAGATAATCCCTCGGCAGCGATCATGTTCGTAATCGAGGACGTGACCTACAACATTTGCGATCAACGATTCCACGAGTTCTACATCCGGGAAACGTATCCGCACATACCGGTGATTCGCCGATCGTTGACCCAAATCTATCAACAGGGAAAGTTAGGTTCTAATGGCGACCTTCTCATCGATGATACGGTTGTAACCGTCATCTACTTCCGGGCCGGCTACGAACCTGGTCACTATCACGGACCGAACGAATGGGCCGCTCGGCTTTTAATGGAACGGTCCAAGGCTATCAAGTGTCCTTCGATTCACTATCACCTAGCTGGCACGAAGAAGGTCCAGCAAGCATTGGCGAAACCCAGCATCTTGAAACGATTCATTCACGAGGAAGCAAAAATTGACAGCATCAAGGATATATTTACAGGACTTTATTCACTGGACAAGGGCGAGGAAGGGGCTCAGGCAGTCAAGTTGGCGTATTCCAACCCGGAACGGTACGTGCTGAAGCCACAACGCGAAGGAGGCGGCAATAACGTATACGGTGTGGACATTCCTGAGGCTCTGGAGAAGATGAACGAAGACGAACGGTCGGCTTGGATTCTGATGGAACGCATCTTTCCGCCACTGTCGCGCGGTTACATGGTTCGTCCGGGTGGAAACATGCCCCCACAAATCGTGGACTTGGTGTCGGAGTTGGGTATTTTCGGTGCAATCATTGGGTGAGACATGTGCGGACAGCTGTTGTCGAGTAGAATTTTTAAATTTTTGTATTCAATTTCAGAACAAAGGACAAGATCCTGTACAACAAACAAGTCGGTCACATGTTGCGAACCAAACTGTCTAGTGCCAACGAGGGAGGAGTTGCTGCCGGTTTGGGTGCCTTGGATAGCCCTTACTTGATTGATTAGCGGAATAAATTGAACAACTACCAATATACTGCATGTGACACTATTCCAAGGCAATCAATACAATTTTGCATTTTCCTTTCATGTACTGTAATGTTTACTTCTGTTGAGAGCTATTTTATATACATTGTGATTAATTGAACTGATTTTGTACCATTTATATGGAAGGAACAGAAAGAAATTCTTTTCAACGTACTCTGCGCTGTCTTGGGCCAACCAAATTCGAAGCGGACACCATCTTGTATTGCTGCCCAACGCATGCTTCCAGTTTTTGCAGCTTTCTGAATACTGATTTCGATGTAACGTTGAACAAGCATTGATTCACTGTTTGACTGCACCCAAAGATAGTCCTCCTCGAGCACGATTCATGTCTTTGCTTTTCTGACCACACATTCCAAAGCTATGTAAAACGGTAGACAGGAAAGCCTATCACTTTTCCGTTACCCTCTTCGAGATTTCAAGGGACTAAAGAGATTCTCCGATACTTGGACAACGCACATAATTCGATCCATTGCCTTAACCAATTGCAGCAGTTTATTCGGAAACCGATATTGGTGGTGCATAATCTGTCATAATAGGTAGGTAATCCAAAATATCTTAAAATGACAATGGACAAAGGATCAACGAGTCAAGTGTTAACGCATTGTGAGGAACGGCAACAATAATGACAATATCCGCTTGTGTTTTTTTTTGACGTAGGACTACGTCTTTTCATTTCTATATGGGGGTACACTTTGTGAAAACCGAAAATTGAACATGTAACAAATTTTGAAAGATTTTGAACGTTAATAACTCAACTGCCCCTGGTCCAATTTCAAAAATTTTAACACCAATCGATCAGCAATATTTCTACGCATCGATAAAAATGCTGTTGATTTTCAAAAAGAATCTATTGAAAAGGTGGTAAATGTCCAGCATTGTCCAAAAGCGTCGAATTAACTAATAAATCGACCAATTACGTACATGCTTATGCTGCTTTCCCAACACAGTCATCAGAGAATCATTCCTAGACGAAACATGTCGATGTAGCATTACGACGAGGGCTCGGTAGCTCAGTGGTTACCATTTCTGCTTACTGAGTAGAAGGTCGGGTTCAATCCCAGGCCCGTCATCATCCTTGCAATTTTTCACTTTGCCTTATCCTATCCCCACTAGATTTGAATAAAAACAAATTGTGCTTTAACCGATCGCATCACTTACCACATGAATCCTGATCTAAAAATAACCTACCTCACTAACACGACTATCCTTCCCGAGACAGCCATGGAGATGTTGAGGAATTTTCGGCCTCTAGTAACAACCGCACTGTGCAATTTTAATTTATCTGATTAGTTCTGATCATTCACGGGGGAGCAACTCAACAATTGAAATAGGCGGAACAACCAAACGTAAACAATGGCTTCACACGCAAATTCCTCGATAATCAAACCACTCCCACGCAAGCTAACCATGCCATGCAATAAAGGAAGTTTGCTCTATCAGATGGTGGTGTTAGATTGCTTCGATGTGTTTTGATTATCGAGGAATTTGCGTTTAAGCCATTGTTTACGTTTGGTTGTTCCGCCTATTTCAATTGTTGATCTAGATAGAAGAGAATACAGAAATAGTGCGAAATAGGTAATTGAAGCCATGGTGATCTCAAAAGAGGAAATCGATAGAGAATTGGCTTTCATCCTTCTGCTTCTTAGGCACTTACAGTCGTCACAGCAATGAAAACTAGCATCACACCGCTTTTGGTTCTAGGGCACTTGCTGGTTGCAATTTTAATATCAGGATTCACTGTGATGCGATCAGTGAAAGCAGCAGAAATTTCCTTCCCAACTCTCTTGTAGAATCTTTTAATGGCGCTGAAAAGGGCCAGTTTTGTTCGATTTCGACGGAGAAATTAAGAGCGCTCACCACAAATACGATGAGCCAGCTGAATGTCCTTTAGCATAATTGTGACACGCTTGACGTGGATGGCGCACAGGCTGGTATCTTCGAACAGACCGACCAGATGGCCTTGCTGGATTCCTGCAACGGCCGAGCTCTGGAAGCGCAGATCGGACTTGAAAGTCCTGGGCGATTTCAGGAGGAGCCTTCCCTCCGGTGGACTTACGAGCGATCTGCTTAGTTACGGTGCACGTTGCACGGTGCACGTTGAATAAAAATTTCAACCGCTTTCTCCTCTATTTAATAACATACTTTTGTTATGTTCAACCAATCATGAAAGAACAAAAATGCAACAAATTGCAAGAAGAATTTAGCCTTCGAGTAGGTATAAAAGAGGTATTCATGTTCAAAATAACCATCATTATTCGCTGCCAGACTGTTGAGCAGTTCAGTCGATTTGAATTCTCTCTAGTTTCGTTCGTTCGTTCGCAACTCGAATTAGCTCCGCGTTGTGTAGTGACGCTCTCGCTGACCCAGCCATGGGTAAGAAATCGCGCGGTAACGCGAGTGCCGGTTTACCGGGAAAACAGACTCTCCCAGGAGACGGCGCGACCACCGAGCCAGCCCAGAAGAAGCAGAAGAAAACCCCATTGCCCATCCCGACAGGCGTTGCGGACCCGCAGCCGGGGCCTCCCGGAACTAAACGACCCAGACCTGAAGACAGCAGCGCCACCGCATCAGCAGCAAAAAAGCTGCTGAGCAACAATCCGTTCTCGGCCCTGCAGAACGGAGCCCAGCCGCAGTCGGACCCTGAGACGGTGCCGAAAAAAGTTAAGTTGCCACCCTTCTATGTGAAGGGCTTCCCTCCCGGGCTATGGGAGCAGCTGGATTTCTACATTAAGCAGGGCCTTCGCTGCACCATTCAACGGTGCACGGAAGGCTACAAACTGATGGTCCCGGCCGAAAAACACTTCAACGCAGTTCAGGCCCTCTTGGACAGAATGAAGCTGGAGTACTTCTCCCACGACATCGAGGCCACCAAGCCGCTGAAAGTGGTGCTGCGCGGGCTCCACGACATGGACACCACCACCTTAATGGACGAGATTAAGGCGAACGGCCTCAAGCCGGTCGAAGTCCACAAGATGACCCGCAGCAAGGCCATCAAGTATCGTGACCAGCTCTACCTGGTCCATCTGGAGAAGAACTCCACAACCGTGAAGGATCTCCAGACGACACGCACACTGTTCCACATCGTAGTGAAGTGGGAGCGGTATAAACCCACCCACCGTGGCGTCACTCAGTGCTCGAACTGCCTATTGTTCGGGCACGGCACCAGGAATTGCCGCATGGCCAGCCGCTGCATCAAATGCGGCAAAAACCACAAGATCGACAACTGCGACAGCATCGAGGAAGCCACTCCCACATGCGCCAACTGCGGTGCCGCCCACAAGGCCACGAGTAAGGCCTGTCCGAAGCGGGCCGAATACGCCGAGATCCGGAAGAAGGCCTCGTCCAACAGCCAGCCCGGTCGCAAGAAGGTTCCAGAAAACAACGCGCAGAACTTTCCTCCGTTATCACCGGTCCAATCACGGCCAATTCCAGTGTTGCCGCCGCTCCCGCTCAACCAACAGTTGGCTGCCGCTGCAGTACCCGGTCAAGCCTCCGGGCCATCGACGGATCCCCCTGCTCCGGGATTGGCCGGTACAACCGGTGAAGCTACAGACGATTCTCCGCTGTCAACGGATGAGATCGTCACACTGTTGGCCCAGGCCATCATCATCAAGCGCACCTGCGCAACAAGAACACAACAGCTCCAAGCTATCATCTCCTTCGTCGCTAATTATGGACCGTGAACCCATAAAGATCGCCAACTGGAACGCTCGCTCCGTAGGGGCGAAAAACATTGAGCTTGCAGACTTCCTCCGCAAGCACGACATCGACGTGGGCCTTCTTACCGAGACCCACCTCAAGACCGGTGACAGCTTCTGGCTGCCCGACCACAGCATTGTCCGGCTTGATCGCACCAGCTCCAGGGGGGGCGGTGTCGCGGTCATCATCAAGAAAGGCATCAAGTACTGCACCCTACCCCACTACCGCACTTCCATCATCGAGGCCGTCGGCGTTGAGGTGGAAAAATCGACCGGAAACGTCCGGTTCATCGTTGTCTACTGCCCCCGGCAATGTACCGTTAGCAATGGTACAGCACAGCAGTTCAAGAACGACCTTGCCATCATAACCCACACCAATGCCCGCTTTGTAATCGGAGGGGACCTGAACGCCCGGCACGAGGCCTGGCGGAACTACCAGCAGAACCAGAACGGCCGCCTGCTATTCGACCATTCCCAGCATGGTCTCTATTCCGTCTGGTTTCCGGACGAACCAACCTTCACATCACCGACGGGCAACCCATCGACGCTGGACCTGTTCTTGGCAAACACCAGATTAGCCAAGCCGGTTGCCGTCAACGACCTGAGTTCGGACCACCAACCGGTGCTGAACGAGCTGGGCTACAACGTGGCCCCTGCACCGTGCCAGCGGAAGGACTACCATCGAGTCAACTGGGTCCAGTTTCGACGCGTGGTCGACCGCCACATCGACGACAACCCACCGCTCGACACAGTGGATGACATCGACCGGGCCCTGGAGGGTCTCCATCAAGCCATATCCGTGGCTGACGAAGAGTGCGTTCGACGAGTTCCTGTGAGGGGTAAGTTTCAAGCAATTGATTCCCACACCAAACTCTTGATTCGGCTCAGAAATGTTCGTAGACGCCAGTTTCAGCGGACTGGGGATCTGCAGCGTAAATACGAAATGGTCGATCTGAATCGGCAGATCGCTTCCAGAATGGTCTCAATCCGGAACGAGAGTTTCGGGCGGCTCGTTCAGAACCTGGACGACCGTTCCAGACCATTCTGGAAGGTTGCCAAGGTGCTGAAGTCTCACCCCAAGCCCATTCCACCACTTAGAGTCAATGACGAACGGCTTATCACCAACGAAGAGAAGGCCAATGCAATTGGGGAGCACATTGCCCAGTCGCATTTGCTTGGCTCTACAATCCCAAGTCCACTCGAGAACCAGGTTGTGCAGTGCGTCCAGACGTTAGATGCCTCCCCTTGTGCCGTCCCTCCAGAAGAACGGATTACAGAGGAACAAATTTGCTCAGCGCTGAAACACAGTACGAACATGAAGGCTCCCGGGTTTGACGGAATATTCAACCTAGAGTTGAAAAATCTCAGCGCGAGGGTGCACTCGCTGCTGGCTGCCATCCTC